ATCTATGCCCCAACTTGAGGGGGAGTGTTAACAGGTGTATTATATGTACTGTACATAGGCTTAGTACCCGTAGGGGTATTTTCGTAATTCTGTAGACATATTGTTATGTACGGCCAGAATAGTATAAATAGAAAGCCTCACTCGACTGAAGCTAAGTTTTGTTGAGGCCTTAACTCAGTTGCCTCTTATTCTTCTTCCTCTTCTTCTTCTTCCTTCTTCTTTTCTTCTTCGTCTTGGTCTCCTGCTCAACAACAACTATGGATGCAGGTATTAAACTGAGTGAGTATGTGTTCATGGAACTGTTGCACAAGTTTAGGCACTTCAGCCCGAGAGCACATAAGGTAAATCCATGTATATCGTGAAAAATCATCAATAAACAGGATGAAATATTTATGCCCACCCATACATGGTAAATGGTAAGGCCCCCACACATTAGAGTGAATAGTATTAAAAGGAATAGTTGATCTTTTATTACTTGAAGGATAAGTGCTCTTACATTGCTTTGAGAACTCACAAGACTCACAATGAAGACTCGATAGAGTAATTCCTTTAAATAACTCTGGAAACAATTGACTCAATGAAGAAAAGGACAAATGACCCAAACGACATAACATAATGTGACTAGTGGATTCTGAAACAAGTGTAGTTCTCTTAGGTTGTATTTGACTCTGCTTAGGCATGTTTAACAAATGGATCTCATTCGCCTCATGGCCACTCCCAATCACCTTTTGAGATTCCATGTCTTGAAAAACACAATATGAAGGAAAAAAGGTCACACTGCAATTCAGGGATTTAGTCAAATTACTAACTGAAAGAAAATTGGTATTGAGTTTAGGTACATGAAGAACAAATGATAAGGTTAGGGCATTAGATGTCTTAATGTCTTCCTTTCCCATGATAGGGGCTAGGAAGCCATCAGCAAGGGATATCTTATCTCGGCCAGAAAGAAGTTGGTAAGAGGTGAATAACTGTGAAACAATGGTCATATGGTCAGAAGCACTAGAATCAATTATCCAAGGGGTTTTATGAGTACCTGAGACAGAAGCATGATGTGTAGTGGCATGAATACCTGAATGAGCATATGCAGAGGAAGGAACAGTCTCTGAAGGAGTTGTAGCAATGGACTCCAAGTGACTGATGATTCGTCCATACTTCTCATATTCAGCCCTGGCGGCTACAAGTTATTCTCCCACTGACTTCTCTTCACCCTGTCCTTGTTCACCTTGTGAAGAGGTAGCTACATTTGCATTTCCACCATTTCCTATTTCAACCCTTTTTCCACCATTTTCTTTCTTGAATCCGGTAGGAACAAGCTCTGGATACAGTTTCCAACATGTGTCTTTAGTGTGTTTAGGCTTCTTGCAGTATTCACAGATAACATCTTTCTTCCCAGTGCTAACCTTCGGCTTCATCCCAGCATTAGCATAGTGATCAACCTGTGGCTCAACAAATGCTCTCCTCACTGCTCACCATAGCATATACTTGAGACAAAGTACCTCATCCTTTGCTAAAACATTCTGCCTCACAATATCATACTCCGAGTTGAGTCCGGTGAGGAACTCAAAGACCCAATTTCTCTCCACCAACCTCCTATATGTTTTTGCATCCTTAATGCAACCCCAAACAACAACCTCCATCAGATCAATCTCTTGCCAAAGAGATTTCAGCATAGAGAAGTAGACTACTAAGGGCTTCTTCCCCTATTTAAGATTATTCACATCATGCTTCAATTTGTAGGCTCGAGCAACATTAAGCTTTTGGGAATAGGTCTCTATGACACTATCCCACACTTCTTTTGCAGTTTCCATCCACAGGTAATGCTAACTAATGAGTGGTTGCATAGAATTCACTAACCAATTCATTACTGTATAGTTTTCCTGTATCCACCTTTCATAGGTAGGATCATCCTCCTCTGGTTGCTTCTTGCTCCCAGTAATATAACCCCATTTTCCTCTACTACACACATGTATCTTAATAGATTGAGACCAAGCTAAATAATTGGTCTCGTCTAGCTTCAAAGTAGTCACAGCCCCAAAAAGATTCTCCACTGACCCCCATGTCCAAACCCGAAATCTATGGAATATTTGGTCTCTCCTCCAATTTGCTCCGTTGAGTAAACGGATGCAAATGAAAATCAAATTAGGGCTTTACTAGGCTAGATTTACTGTTCTAAGCAAAGAACAACCTTTCAACCCCCCAAAATTAGGGTTTCACAAGGTCCTTCAAGAGGGAGAAAGAGAGAAACTTCAACTACCTATTCCAGAGGTTCCAGAATTCACTCCAACCAAAACCGCCCCTAATAGAAACCAAAACGCTTACTTCTGATCCCTAAACGCCTGGTTCAAACTGTCTCTATGGCCTATAATAAGGTTTCTCTAGTTATCTAGGGTTTTCGGGAAAAATCTCCAAGAACCTGCTCTAGGCTTCAACTAAGGATGAAAAACCTCCACAAAACTCTCCAAAAACCTTCCTAACTAGGCTGCATAAGTAGCTGATTGATCAACTGATGTAAAGAAAGGAAAAAGAAGTCGAAAGTGAGAACCCGCTCTGAATACTCTGATACCAAGTTGAAAATTACACCTACAGTAATTCAGATAATGCAAGAAAGGAAGAAAAGTGAGGAAGAGAAAGAAGAAGAAAGAAGTTTCAACAATAGGTTGTGGAAGAAGAAAAGAAGGGAAGAGAGAAAAGAAGAATTCGAAGGCCCATAAGGCCTTTCATCACTTTTATTAATAATTCTAAGTCTGAATACAATTACTTTGATGCCCTTAATGGGGCATCCAGCACTAAAGAAATAATTAAAGAAAATAAAAGAAGGCCCATAACTAAGAAACATAACTTTTAAATACCACATAAAAGAAATAAAGAACACTAAGGCCCATTCGGCCCATTCTCACTACAAATTTAGCATCTACCTGCAATCCAAATAAATAATAATATATAATTATGTTCAACTAAAAATTAAAAAGAATAATATTCAAAATTGGTATTTTACAAATGTTAATGAAATGAACAATATATTAAATCCATATTTATATAAAAAATTGATTTTTAATATCAAAGACAATTATAGAAGTGAAAATACTAGTAAGAATAATTATTTTAGTAATTAAAAGTTATGAATTTGCATATGATATGTATCTTAGAAATCTTAATAGGTTTGATATATTTTATGTTAAGATTATATATTTTTATAAATGATTAGTTAATATTTTAATTTACATTAAATAACAATATGTTTATAATTTACAAAAAACAAAAATATTGTTTACAAAATATTTGAGAATTTAATGTATTTATCAATAAAATTGTACATATCCTGCTATATTAATTGTAATGTATTTCTTCATAATGTACCATTAAAACATGCATTTCTTTTGTATTTACACCTTATTTGTGGTTATTTCAACCTTAAATTTAGTGTTATTAATGTATTTGCAGGATTTATAGCAATTTCCTTAATGTATCCAAGTGTATTTATATCTTTCCACCATATCCATGTCTAAGCTTATCAATACTTTGATCCTTGTTTTTTATTGGTATCATAAGTGAAATAGTTTTCCCATGAACCTTGAGATTATAGTCAATTGGGAGGGTCTGCCATATGAGTTCTTGAAATGATGCATGAATGCTCTTACTATCTCCTCATGTGAGTCTGTCTCTTCCCCATGTACCTTAGCCTTGAAATGAAAGTTCTCTTCACCCATTTTGCATGTTGTGGAAAACCCTGTGTTCCCATCTACTTCTTAAACCTTGTTTCTTTCCCACTTTCAATTCCATCCAATGCTTCAATTTGATCCCCAATGTTGTAAGACTTGGACCAAACACAGAACTGGAATGCCTATTGTGTCATGGGTCAAATGGTCCGACCATTGGGTTGACCTAGTGAATCATGATTTCATATAGATTAGATATAAAATTAAAATATTAGGTATATTATCATACATGTGTAGGTAGTGGCTAAATGGTCTGTTTCTTGATTTTTAGTACATGTGACCAAGAGATATTAAAGAGAGAAAAATAAACACATAGCATGATAGATCAATGATAGCATGTCAGCATGATTTTTCATTTTAAAATTTATGATAAATCAGTGACCTGGGGGCATTGAAAACCGGATGGGTCATTGAAACCTAGCCAGTTTTCAATGGTCCTAACCGGGTTGTGATGGATCTACCGTTTTTTTTTTTTTCAGAAATTTAGAAAACTGGGGTTCCAAAAAACCAGAATGGCTGTTGGTTCCTCATTTCCACAATCCAACCATCTGGTCGGGTCCAAGTCTTAATATTTCAGAAAGACTTGGACGCTGGGGCTGTATTTTAAGCATAGAATAACTATAATATTCTCCCAATAACTGAAACTTTCAACTTGTTTATGCAGACATTTAATGAGTTTTTCATAAGAGAGTTAAAGCCTGGTGCAAGACCAATCGCAAACAAGGAATCTGATAATGTTGCTATATGTGCTGCTGATAGTCGTCTAATGGCATTTAAATCAGTTGAAGACAGTTTAAGATTATGGATTAAGGTGAAGTCTCCCTCTAAAATTTGCAAATATTGGAGTTGCAAAAGCCAATCATGCTTTCTTCTTTGGAAAGTAATTTCCTCAATACTAATGTTCATTTTCTATACTAATTTTTTGTCTGTTGTTCAACAACAATCCATGTTTAGCTCAATATTTCATGTCGCTCTCTATTTATCTTGAATATATATCTCTTGGATTTAACAGGAAATAGAAAGTTGACCTCATTTTGAAGTTCCACTCAATGCCTATCAAAGAAATACTGAAATATCATTGGTTATGATACAAAAGATCTGAAGTATGCACTTTCTGTAGTAGTTATCTAGAACTAGTAATAGTTTGATCATCAAGCCCTTGTAGTGTGAGATTTAAGCCAAATAAAATTTATTAATGCATTATAGGAAATCAATGTCGGTATTTAGCAAAAACTTCACCAATGATTAAACAAAAACTATTAACCCTTTTTGTAGTAAAAGGGTATACTTACACATAAGAACAACCCTGGTGTTATTATGCATTAATATAGGATTGGTGTCAGACTAATTTTCAGAAGTAATAACACTTGGGTTTTGTTATGCATAATAACACTCATTGTTATTTATTATTATGTGTCAGTATTTAGCATAAGTAATAAGTTAACACTCATTGATGGAAACACCAAGTTGAACTTACCTTTTGGTAGATTCTCCAAGTTGAAATAATAAGTTTTTTTATCAGCAATAAAGATTGATTCATTAATTAAAAATATATGGGATTAAGTACAGTCTGATGACCCAAATGACATTCCCAAGAGCTACAACCAAACTTACAAAGAGGCCAATATAGATGCTGCCTTGCAGCCCCTTGTTTGGATAAAGTACTGCTAAACCCTTGCACTCCACTTGATCCACCTGAAATCAGCATTTATATGATTATATCCTTTGCTAATCTTTCCACTTCCCTGAAGATATGTTTGAGAGTCCATGGGATATATCTATTACATCTTTCCCAAGATATAACAACTTTTTTATCCCCTTCCACTTCCACCTGTTGAAAACCCAATTGCTTTGCCAACCAGAGCCCCTGTAATAATGCCAGTAACTCTGCCTTTGTTGAATTTGTAATGCCAATTGGCCCCGAATATAGTTAACGCTCATTGATTTCCTTTTGGTAGCTAGAAATCAATGTCAGTATTCTTCTCTCACTGAAAATTGATTTTTTTCTCTCTTCACTTCAACAGTTATAGTAATGAAAAAAGAAGACCAAGTACAACACAATATCTGTATAGCAAACAGGAAAGAACTAAAAATTACATCCATTACATCCCCAAAAGATTAATCCCTGAGAAAACAGAATGAGGGATATCCAGGAACTCCTTATCCACTAGAACCCAAGATAAGATCTTTCTTACAAACATTCTTTTTAACAGCATCCTCTTGAACCACCTCTCCATCAAATGTTCTCCTGTTTCTTTCTATCCACAGACCAAATTGCAGCTGTTGGAATAGTGTACCATATGAACCTCTTTTATTGAGTCCTTTCACCTACCACTTATCAAACACTTGCTTAATTCTTCTTGGAAATAACCCATCTGAAGAAAATGTGTCCATATTTGGTAACTAGATGAGCAACGCACAAACAAATAGTCTGCCTTTTCCAGTTTTCAGTTACAGAAACTGAAATCAACACCAGGGATATTCCATGCCTTGGGAGAGGACTTAAACAGTTGTCTTTATTAAGTCTGACCAGAGTTAAGAGTTATATTTATTTATCTTTCCTAGAAAGAGCTGTATCATTTTGGAGTGTCAACATCATCCTGTGGTGCCCCAAAGAATGTTATTCTAGGAGTGTGTCATTCTCCATATAATGTACCTCTGGATCTAAAACTTCCAGTGTTTGTATTATTGTTCAGAGTAATAGATATTTCCTCTCCTCATGAGTTCCTTATTTCTTAATCTCAGGGTCGAAAATTTTCCATTCAAGGTCTTCTAGGAAAAGATGTATCCAGTAGTGCTTTTATCCATGGAACCCTGGTGATATTTCGATTGGCACCACAGGTATTTGTTATTTTGTCACTTCTTTCTTTTATTTTCTATTGTTTTTTTTTTTTTTTTGACTAATAGGTAAAGATCCTTTCAAAAATTTACTCTTGTGGTACTATTATTTCAATTAGCCTGATTTACCTAAACAATTGCAGGATTATCATCGTTTCCATCTTCCAGTTTCTGGAACCATTGAGCAGTTTGTCAACATTCCAGGATGCTTGTATACTGTATGCACAAGAAAGATTTAAATTGGATTTGTCTGTTCAACGTATCATATTTACTTCTCCTTTCTCCTTTAATTTCAAAAAAGAAAGATGATCTCTGAAGTAGTTTCTTATTTTCTAGGTGAATCCAATAGCTGTGAATAGTAAATACTGTAATGTATTCACTGAGAATAAGCGAGTTGTGTCTATTATTTCAACTGCAGACTTTGGAAAGGTTTGTGAGTTATAACCACATGATTATCACTCTAACTCATTTTCATCTCCTTTCATGCATAGTATGATATCCATTTTGTTCACTTTTCCTGTTATGTTAGCTTAACATGGTTCAAGTTTCAAGTTTTTGGAGGTAAATTGTTAGGGACAGTTTGCCTGACAGCTTGTATCCATGCCTAGAATAAAAATAATTGCCCGTGCTTTAGTTATGTAGTGATTATGTAATATATGCCCTCTAACCATCATTTTGAGATTATGAATTCTGGTTTCAAACTGGATTTCTACCTGGTTTCTAAAATATAATTGGTGTTACATCGGAATTTTTATATTTCAGTTGGAACAGAAAAAAGAGAAGCAATACTTTTTATTCTTCTATTTTTCACATGTTTCCTCTTCCTACATCGTCTAATTCCTATGTGTTTCATTCTCTATTTCCTTTCTTATTCCTTTATTTCCAGATTTAGGGGTGCAAGTCAGGTACCCAACTTGTAGAATGTACACAGAATTGGGCCCATCCAGGAAAATGCTCAACCTGAGCCCTCCCAAGTTGGAGCCCTATCTATACTAAACTAATTTTATTTTTATCTGATCTTTATGCATTATTGATCCATGCATCTTGAAAGTCAAAACAAAATAAAGTCATTACCTAATGTTGGCCCCAGCCATCTGGGGTGAGAGGGGTGGACTGGATACAGATCTAGCCTATGACCCCTCTTTTTTTTTGGCAGAAAGTGGCCACTCTCAGACTCAAACCTGCATTCTCATGCTTAATAGCCCAAGATTTTACCATTATGCCAAGCAACGGCCCCTGCATAATTGTGGAACTCCAAAAATTGCTACAGAATTCTAATGTCTGGTTTTGACAGTTTCATTTCAAGATGTATAATGGGTACTTACATGTCTGACAGTTTGTATCCATGTCTAAAATCAATAGATCTGTCCATGCTTTAGCTATTAGTGCCATAGTACTCTATTTACCGTCATCTCAACAGGACTTTAAATTCCAACTTCAAACTGGACTTCTACCTGATGTGAATCTGAAATATAATTGATATTCCACTGAAATTTTTTGGTTGGAACTGAAAAAAGAAAAATAATGCTTTTTCTTGTTTCTTCCTTTAATTCCTCTCTGTTCTATTCTCTACTCCCTCCCCTATTCTTTAAATTCCATATTAAAATAAAGATGTTTTTTTGTTCTTTATGAATTATGTTCCAGTCCCCCTCAAAAGTCAAAAGAAAATCTTGAAATTTTAAGAATTGGTATAGAATTTAATACCTGGTTTTGACAGTTAATTTCAATATGTATAGTAGGTACTTGTTAATGTCAACTATGTAGGGGTAATTTTGTCTTTATGCTTATGTTCAAGTTGCTGATGTGTAAAGTTATGTTAGATCCTATGTCCCTCACTTAAGTAGGGGCAAAGGTGTCATTTCCAGATTAATAGAAATATAAAAACAAATCTGGCCGAATGGGAGAGACTGATTTTCTCTCTTGTTCGAACCAGAACTTTCTCTTCTTCTTCTTCTCTCTTTTCCTCTTTCTTTTATTTCTGCTGTTATCACTCTAACAGAATTCAAGGGCAGACCGAATTCTAATATGGTATCAGAGCCAAACTGAGAGAATCGAAACTGCCCAGAATTCTGTTATTTGCGCACCCAGTCTAGGGTTTTTTTCTTGTTTTCTTCACCATCAGTTGGAGATAAGGAAAATGGCTGAAAAGGAGTGATTGCCCTCTTCCCTTGGGGGTTTTTATGCCTCCAGTCGTGCAGTTCGTGGTTGGTTGCTGTGGTTTGTAGGAAGCCCTCCCCTAATCGATGAAGAGAAGAGGGCTGATTCGTGTAATGCAGTGGGTGTCTAGTGCGGTCTGATTTTCTGGTGATTAGGTAAGAGGTTTCTATGCAGTTTTTTGTTGTGAATCAAATGATAAGCTTGTTTCAGATTGTATGGTGGGAATTCAGGTTGTAGTGTGTTAGGGTTTATGCCAATTTCAGTGTGATTCAAAGGAGGAGTGATCCTCAAACAGTGTGGTGAGTTTTCAGGTAGTCGTGTGGTAGGGTTGTGGTGTAGAGAGTGCAGTTTTCAGCAATAATAAGTGCTGAGAACAGTGTGGTTCAGTGTGCAGTGTGGTTTAGTGTGCAGTGTGCAGAATTCAGCAATAACAGAATTCAACAATGGGAGACAACAGTGATAGAAAACTAGTGTGATGGTCCCTACTGACTACCTGAATGTTCAGATGACCTCTATTAAACTGAGTGGAGAAAATTATGTATCATGGGCACAATCTATAGAAGTCTTTCTTAAGGCAAAGAAGAAAGTGAAACACATAAGGGGAAAAACCCTCCACTGATTCTCATGAGTATGATGACTAGGAACAAGAAGATGCACAGATTATGACATGGTTATGGAACAGTATGGAACCCAAGATTAGTGTGAATTTCATGTTTCTTTATACTGCCAAGGAAGTGTGGGACCATGCTAAGAAGTTGTATTCGGGTCAAGACAACACAACTAGAGTATATCAGCTATATCAGGATTACTTTTATTTGCAACAGGGTAATTAGAGTCTTGAGGACTACTATGCTAGTATGAGAAACATTCGTAATGAGTTGAATGTGTATCACCCCCACCTCTGATGTCAAAATTCAGCAACAGCAGAAAGAGCAACTAGATGTGATTTGATTTTTGGTGGGGCTGAAGTCTGAATATGAACCAATGCGGGCTCAGATACTAGGAGGATCAGCTCTCCCTTCCTTAGAAGAGGTGTTTGCTCAACTTAGGAGGATTTCTATTGGATCTACCGAGAACTCTAGTGTTTCCGATAGATCAGCCTTTGCAGTATTAAGGGGCCATGGTGTTAGAGGTGGAGCTCGGGGAGCTCAGTCTAGTCGTAGTGGTAGCAATGGACCGGTATATGGCCGTAGTGGTGGTGGTGGACCTACATATAACCGTGGTGGTGGTCGTACTAGAGGTCGAGATTCAGGGGGAGTCCGTGGCAGAGGATGTAGTTCAGGTCCGAGGAGATGTACACACTGTTGTATGGATGGACATACCATTAATCATTGCTATGATTTGCATGGTCCACCTTTAGCTTGGGCCAATCATGCCATGACCGGTGATAGTAGCTTCAGACAGGAGAGTCATTCAGCTGATCAGATGCTCCCTACATCCACAAATGTTCCCGGGAAGGAGATGATGAGTGTTCCCCGTGGTGATTATGAGAGGTTTGTCCAGGCCACATCTCAACAGAACACAACCACTCTTGCACACTCAGGTATGGCTTGTCTGGCATCCACACCCAATCCCTGGATTATTGACTCTGGAGCCTCCGATCACATGACTAGAACTCCAGGTGTGTTTTCTTCCCTCTCTCATTGCCCAACATCACAATCTGTTACCTTTGCTAATGGTTCCACATCCTCCATTTGTGGTGTTGGTAATGTTAATATGGACTCTTTACCCTTATCCTCAGTTTTGTATGTCCCTAAATTTCCATTTAACCTTATGTCAGTTAGTAAGTTGACCAAGGCTCTTAATTGCTCTATTACTTTTTACCCTTCTTCGTGTGTTTATCAAGATCTCATGACAGGGATGAAGATTGGTGGAGGGCATGAAGTTGGTGTATTGTATTATCTTGACGGTGGTAGAAGTACGTCAGCAGCTCTCCAGTCATCTCTTTCTCCTCTCTAGTGGCACTGTCGATTTGGTCATCCTTCATTGAAAGTTTTGAAGTCTTTGGTTCCTTCGTTGAGTCAACTTTCTGTTTTGGATTGTGAATTGTGTCAGTTGGGGAAACATCATCGTGTTCCCTTTAGTCCTAGGGTTGATAAGCATATGTCGAGTCCTTTTTCTTTGGTTCATTCAGATGTTTGGGGTCCTTATAAAGTAATGTCATACAATGGATATAAATACTTTGTCATTTTTGTTAATGATTATTCAAGGATGACGTGGCTTTATTTAATGAAAGAAAGGAGTGAATTGTTTGCTATTTTCCAAAAATTTTATGCTGAAATTCACAACCAATTTGGTGTCCACATTAGAATTTTTCATTTCGATAATGGCCGTGAATATTTCTCTACATCATTTCAAGAATATTTGGACCAACATGGCATTATCCATCAGACTTCATGTACCTACACCCCACAACAAAATGGGGTGGCTGAGAGAAAGAATCGTCATCTTTTGGAAACTGCTTGATCCCTCATGCACCACATGAATGTACCCAAACCTTTTTGGAGTGATGCGGTGGTTACTTTTTTCTTCCTGATTAACCGGATGCCCACGTCTATCCTTGATGGTCATTCTCCATTCACCACTTTGTTTCCTATCTTGTCTCTGTTTCCTCTTTCTCCCCGGGTTTTTGGGTGTTGTCTGCTTCGTTCATAATTTGGGGCCGGGAAGGAACAAGTTAGATGCACGATCCATTAAGTGGATCTTCCTTGGCTATTCCCGGACTCAAAAAGGGTATAAGTGTTATCATCCTAGCTCTTTACATTCCTTTGTGTGTGCTGATGTTACTTTCTTTGAGTCTACTCCGTTTTTCTTGGGGTCAGGTGATGTTTCTTCATCCTCATCACCTCCTCCTCTTCCTCTTCCAGTTGTGGATTCTGTCCCTCTTGTTCCAGATGTGACCAAGTCCTTGCCCGGTGCCACCACCTGTTGAATGGCCACCTATCGTCAAGTGTATACACATTGCCAACATGTACTGGCTCCTCCTCCACCTCCATCATCATCAACAGATCCGGTAGTTGTTCCCACACTAGCCCCAACCCCAGTGTCTAAACTTGATCTTCCCGTTTGCCTTGCAGAAAGGTAAACGCAGTTGTACCCTTCATCCTATTTCTAAGTACTTACCTGATGATAATGTAGAGCGGCTGAAAGCTAGACTGGTTGCCAAAGGGTACTCCCAAACCTATGGTATTGACTACACAAAGACCTTCTCCCTAGTCGCTAAGATTGGTTCAGTTCATGTTGTGATTTCTCTTGCTGCTATGTATGATTGG